TGCATTTTCGCAGGTGCGATTGCATCGTTGGCCGATAAATCGTGTATTGTTTAATCGGTGCCATAATATAATTATGACGGGGATGCGTCCTTTTCCCTTGGCTCGTCGATTAACAAAAGAACTTTTTTCTTTCTTTTTTTTTTCTTTTCTTTTCACCACATCCGGGGCAAATTGGGTTCTTTCACGCTATCTTTGGAAACGCGTTTTCATTATTCCCCTTCAGAAGTGGTACACGACAAACTTACACGGCCATTCATCACCGCCGAGCCGCGAAACTTGTCGAACTCGATGATTTGCTCGGCAAGCGCAACTTTTGCCGAGTAAAAAAATCTCGGCTTCTTTCTTCTACTTTCAAACGCGGCTCTACTTTTTTTCCTCGGCAGATTAAGTTTCCGATAAATTCTTTCTGTGAACTGTTTTTTTTTTTTTTTTCTCTTTTCCCTCATCGAAAAGGTCTGTTTATACAGCTTCGTTTGATTTTACAAGTCGTACAAGCCAAGCTTTCCTCCCCCCCGCCCCCCTCAAGTCTTCATCGTCGAAAATAACAACGAGAGAAAGTTTGACGCGCCGAAGGGGGTAGAAGGGAAAAAACTTGGGCAACAAAATACGTGCACGCATATATAAATATGACTATATATAAGAGAGAGAGAGAGAGAAGAACAAGGGGGAATTCCAGAAGTGCTTCTTTGAAACAATCTCGTGAATTAGATCGCACACCCTATCGGGCAACATAAATGTTATCCTCCATCGCCGCCAACATGTCAAATTATCAATTTGAGGAGCAACAAATATATAAACAAATTATAATAAACAACGTACACCCGAAAAAAAAAGTTACCTCATGCACCACACCTATATGTATACTATGTATAAACTCAATCGCTAATGGACGAAGCAAAAGAGATAAAGTTACAAGGGACCCCAAGTACGTATATATATATATATATATATATATATATATATGTGTATATATAGGTACCCATAGTTGTAAGAAATCAGTTAATAACATTGCAGTCGCAAGCGTTAATTAATCGTCGAGCAAACGTCCCGTCCCAACCCTCCTACATTAATATACACACACAGGGCTAATCTCTGCACCGCGTGCCCGGATAGGAGGACTCGATGAATCAAACCGGCGCGTGTCCCGCGGTCGTTATCCGTATGCACACAAACGCCCGTGCAAAGGAAGGAAATAAGTTGGCGCCTTCGAGCGTATCGATACATATTTTTTGTATTTACCCACGCGGCCGTTCTCTCGTTGCAGAGCTCACGTCTAATCATCATCGTATCGCCCTTATCGTGTTTACCCGTGACGCGTGACAGTTTTATACTTTGTCGAGATTTACACGCGCGTTCGAATGAGCGCTTGATTGACAGGAAAAACGGGGGTGGGGAAGGGGGATTTAGCTCCGCCGATTTCGAGTTAATCGACGGGGATCGGATCAATTATTTATGAGCGGGACTCTCTCGGATGACCCGCGGTATAATGGGCGGGACGCGACTGTCACCCTGAATTTCTTCGTTTTTTCCGAGTTTTGGGCTTTTACGTATACTCACCTGTGGATTTTGGGGATGCGATTGGTATACCCTATTGGGATGATTAGTTCAGTCGATGGGTCCAAAACATTTTGTCGACGTAAGACTCGAGAGAAAAATAATATGTTCCACGACCGATTTACAGTGCAATGTGTACACGGAAATTCGATTTTCTACTCCAATTCAGCATCACTTGTTGCGCGTATCACTGAGATTATTCTTTGCTCGTATAATACCATACGTACAGCAGCGTGGCTCGAGTAAATAAATTCCTCGCTCGCCCTTCCGGCTTATTTCATCCGGTGCTCCACCTATATATATATATATATACATATACGTGTGTGGGGTACTATTGTCGTTGGTTAACAGTGACGCAGGACTCGAGTGTAAAATATAGAGAGTCAAATAATAGACGAGGAGGAGGGGAAAAAAAAGTGGGTAGGTACGGCAAGTGGCTTACGCTTGATTGCACAAGATCCGGGCGAGCGTCGAAGATTGCAGTGTGTGTATGCGAGCAATCAAAGGGACTCGAGATGGAGCCGATATACGCACCGGAGCGCGGACTAAATATTTATTGGATCAGCCGTCCGGCGTCGTCTTCGTTGAAAAGCGGAAAGGAAAGTGACAACGTTGGGATTACTTGGTTCTCGATACATACCAGGGGGGGTGACTCTGATGGAAAAATAAAAAATAGGGTATCAATTTTTAATTACAAGGTATCTTTGACGCATAACATGCGACCGGGCGAGCTCTCCCTTTCATTTTTTTACGGTGTACAAAGGGAACGTCGCGACCCGCGTGCATTTCTCATGAAGCGTTCCTGGAAGCACTTTTTTCAACGGCCCCTTTTTCGAATTGGGGTGAAGTTGAAGCTTCTCAAATTCCTCGCGCGTAGCCTTCGCCTGGAGAAAAAAAAAAAAAAATTCCGATCTCAGTTTAGCGGAATAAAAAAAAAAGGAAGGGTCCGCCCTGTCAACAAGAGCGTTGCACGTACGCGGCATAAATATAATCGACTTGGCCGTCTCATTTGCCGCGCGCGTGAATAAAGAAAAAAAAATACCCAGCATAGTTTGTCGTTGCGCGACACTTACGCACGAGAGATGGATGAAAAAAAAAAAAAAAAAAAAAAGAGGGACGGTCGATTACGTCGCCTGTTTATGTATTCCGATCCGTTAAACGGGAGTTAAGCCCCTGGAGGAAATTTAATCCGCGGAAAATTAATTCCTAGGGGCAGGTGCTCGTGCGTCCGCGATGATCGTTTTAGAAGAGCCGAAGCAAAAAAATTTCACGCCCTCGTTTTTTTCACTCCGCGTACGTGTTCCTTTGAAAAAACAGTGCCATCAAGTCCGAAGGCTGTAAAAATAAAAAATTAATACACGTCAGTTTTAAAGTGCAGCACAGTCTGAAGTTTCACGGGCCGGGGATCGTCGGTGGCGTAGTCGAGAACGCGACTTGGACCTTTTTTTTTGCAAACTTCTGCAACTGAACTCGAGTGAAATGTTCACATTTCGCTTCGTAATAGTGAAAATTTTTCGCATTTACTATGGTTAAACTACGGCACGCGTGGGGTATGCGAAGTATGAAAGGTACGCTGTGGAATTAATTTATTGGTGAGCGCGTATGATGTACTCGCAACGTGCCCACCTATGATCGACGTACAACAAACATCCCGAGCGCCCGAAACGTATACGATCCCGTAAAATACCACACCCCAGCTATTTCTCCGAAATTTGTTTTCATTCCCACCACGAGTATCCGTAATATGCGCTCGACTCGTTAAAGTGGATACCCATTGGTATACGGACCTATCACCTGTTTCGCGGTGAAAAATCACCAACAGCAACGAAATAAGTCAGATACAGATTTCTTCAAGTAATTTTCTCTACTTTTGAAGTGTCGACACTTGAATGGCGAAAAAAAACCCCCCCGTAATGGTTTCTCTTTTCTAATTTTCGCCCAATGCTCCTGTAAATCTCCCAAACAATGGCACCGACGAGAAGGACCATGCAAAAAATACCCATAGGTTCACTCGTATATTTACATCGCATTTGAATAACGCCCCTCGTAAAAACCCTTTTCTTTCGGTCCAATCGTCCTTTTTTTGCCCCCCTCCTCTTCCAAACTCCTTGATTTGACGATCGTAAAAAAGGAAAAAAGAAAAAAAGAATCATATCCGATTAACACTCGAGAGCTCCCGTTTAACGAGTTTCCGCCGGTGATTCCAAGCTGTTCGGGATCAGCCAGGGGGAGATAACAGGTACGTTTTCTTATTAAAACCAGCTTCCCCAACCTTGCGCGAAAATTAATCTCACCCCTGATGTTTTTTTCTTCATCTTATCCCTCATCGGCGTCATGTACGGCCAACACGCGACCATCAATTAATCCACCCAACGGTGATTAAACTTCCCGCTGAACCAACTCCCCAAAGTACATATATGTATACATATGATTCATTTGTCAATTAGACGGTCTCGCGTTTCGCTGTGCTCATTGCCTTGGGAATAATTCGGACGTATGTACACGCGAAACCCGAACAAGATAACAGATACATCATGCACGGGGTAAAAAAAAAAAAAAAAAAAAAAAAATCCCCCAAAGTCAACCCTGACGCGATACAGCAAGAAACGTATAACTGATGATTCATTTTTCACCCTCTCCCTAGGATCCCGAGTCTACTTATGTACGGGGTAGGAGGGGGTTGTACACGTGGGCAGAAGGGAAAATATCTTTGGTCACGCCTCGGCGGATGGTTAAGGAGTCACGTCTGCGGTAAATTGCTCTCGCCTCGGCCCTAACTAAGAAGCTACCCCCTTCCCTCCCTCACCCCCGAATCAATCAGAGCTCACGCGCCCCCTCCCCCCCCCCTTAGGACCATAAACGTGTACCACGATGTACACATATGTATACAACACCTCTCGAGAATAATGGCAATGATAAAACAATCACTCGGCAAAGTGTGTACGGAAGGGGAAAAAAGGTGGGCTCCTCCACTTTCACCTCGTTAGCTCGGGAAGAAGCTGCTGGGGCTTCCGCTTCGTCGGGAGCGACCACATTTTTTTTTTTTTTTTTTTTTTTACACTCACACACATCGGGCAGTTACGAGGTGAGTGTATGGACCGAGGGAACCGTGCGATTTTTTTTTTTTCAACTTGTTTGGTTTTCGTTTTCCTTGACTCGACGTGCGAGTGGTACACGCGTATGAATTATCAAAAAAAAAAAAAAAAAAAAAAAAAACCTATATCGATTTAATGACCTCTATACGTGTCTGATTTTCGGAAAAAACGCTCAATCAAATCCCTTGCCTGCCGAAACTCTCGGAGCTACGGGGAGTCGTTTAATTGGAATCGGATCAAAAGGGTAGAAGGTACATAGAGGGGGTGGGAGGGTGGATTATTTTTTTTTTTGCTCCCCTTTCCTTATCGAAATAACGCATTGTCCACATTGGTTTGGTCGGTTGACAGGTGATGAGCCTAGCCGGAGTACTGGCGACGAGCCTAATCGTCGGCTTGGTTGTGCAGGGCGCGAGTTGCGCCCCGGCCGAGCAGCGGGCCAGCATACCCATCGACCGCGACCACTTTCTTCTCGTGATGCTCCTCAATCGGCTCGACTTCGCCCCCAAGGTACGTATACATTTTTTCATGGATTCTTTCACATATAACATATACACATACAAATAGAGTTTAGGCACGGGTGAAAACACGCGAGAAAACGATATTAAACGCATTTACTAGAGTGTATATAATTATACCAGGTGCATCGCGCCAACAAATGGCCGCACGTTTATTCACTTGAATAATAAATTCCCACAACAACGTGACCAACTCCATCCAGATAGGGTTATATATATATACACGATGCATCCGTACACTGTGGATAAGAAACTTTTCCAATTCTCCCGTGTTGTTTTATTTATATAAATGCTTATTGCCTCTCATCCGCGTTATTATGATGAATCGAATATACATGTACATGACATTTGTGTGGGTGTTGATGTGTGTGTGTGTGTTTAAATGTGCAGGCAAAGGGGTTGGACGAGGCGAGGTACGGCGAAGTCAGCGGTTACGGAGAGGAGGGTGGCCCGGCGACGAGCCGAGACAAGAGAATCGGTTCGTTGTCGATCGTCAACTCGGTGGACGTGCTGCGCCAGCGGGTGCTCCTCGAGTTGGCGCGGCGCCAGGCGATGGAGGACCAGAGGCAGATCAGCGAGAACCGGCGCCTCCTCGACTCGATGGGCAAACGATCGGGGCACGAGTACCACCGGGACGGGGCCGCTGATGATGGGAAGCTGATGGAGGAGCAGCAGGTGCCGAGGGACGACCGCAGTCGACAGCTTGAGAGGCTGCTCGTCCAGTGAGGGCTTTTAGGCTGCTTTGCGGAGTACCTCGGGAGTTTAATTTTTTCTTTTTTTTTTTTTTCCACTTGCTCCATTGTGCGTTTTAACCATCGGCTTGGTTTTTTTTTTGTTTGTTTGTTTTTTTTTGCGTGTTTTAAGAAATGTGTAGGTCGTGCATCGAATGCTTGGCGTGCGCGTGTCAAAATAATTGAATCGATTTTAGTTGTGCCGGCGAGGGATGCAGGGTTTAAATAGTTTTTTTTTTTTTTTTTTTTTTTTTTTTTTTTTTTCTGCCAAGGGTCAAAGTACAAACCAAAGAGTTTAATTTGTCGGTAACGCCGCCGGTGCTTTTCTCGTACCCTCGTTCGTTCAAAATATATGGTAAATTGCGAAAGCCAATAAAATGTATATCCATTAACATCGCCTCACCGATCACAATTGTAGATACACACGTATATATACATTGTATTAGCTTTTGATTTGCTTCGGATGCACCAAACACATACAGCCAGTCTGATTCTCTAAGCTCGTCAAACGTCATACACATGCACGGGAGACACTGCGAGATAGCAAATACATGCTTGTAAGCCGTTGTAAATTTAAATAAACATGTTTACCCTTCTGCGATTGGTTTGTCGGTTTAAACTTTGTCAATTCATTTCAATTACAATATTTAATTGGACAGAAAGACAGCCAAATAACTATCAATTCCTTACAACTATTATCGATCGTCTGCAAGAGACTTTTTTTACGATAAGTCGTTTGTACGAGGTATTAGTTTACCCACTGGGATGAAAAGAAATTTTTCTAATAATTATTTATGCAAGTACCAAATCTGAATTAAGCCTAATATCTTGTGCGTTTTTTTTTTTTTTAGTAAATATGCTATACAGTCAATTTGTCAAAGTTACTCGACACATCGACACGCTTGGAGTATCAGGACTCTCGAACAAAGATTTTAGGTATACTTAGCTCGCTATAGCTTAGTGCATTGTTTGGGTAGATTTTAGGACTTTTATGCTTGTTAAAACTTATTTTTGTTATAAATAGGTGTGAAAGGTACCGAATTATATTTTGTAGTTTTGCTTCGTAAATGTTGTTTGAGATGTAAGTACATATGTATACTTTAATGCATACATAAGTAAGATACATGTATGAGATAGAGTTCAAGACTTAATACAAGAAAACGAAGACTTAAAATGGGCATCATCAATATTATCGCTTGTTCATAAATTGTAATCGGAAAAATACACTTTTTTGTCCCACACAAATAAATCACAATATTTTTTGTTTTTTTTTTCACAATAATTAAAATATTTGTCTACTCACTAAATACTACTTTGTGATTTTTAATCTTATTAATGTAAGACAATATCATATACTGAATTGTGACTGCTGCTTTTTAAAAGTCTGATTTAAGAATTTAAACAAATTTGAAAACGAATTTTAAAAAAATGTAAGTGACGGTGCGCTACGACCGTCAATGCTGGACATTGACTGCTGTTATTTTTTCTTTTAAAATTTACATCTATATTATAATGATAACTCGAGTAGGAAGATATTCTATGATATTATTCGTCGAGAAGCTGAAGGAAGAGATGCGTCTAACATTATTTGCTGATATTACGTTGCTGTGTAATGTTTATTCGATTCAAACAATTGTTGCGCACGACAGTGAAAATACTATTTTTTTGTAAAAACTATTCATTCGTAGGTAGAAAATATTTTTGAATTGTTGAAATTTTTCTTTTAATGTAGTAAGTAACAGATATACGCCGTATCAAAAATAATAATCACCATAAAAGCTTTGTAGTAAAGAAATATATACATATGAAAAAAAAAAATAGCGTGCATTTCGTCCTTTGCTTAAATTATCACTTCAATGGAGTACTTACTCGTGCGTATGTATGGATAATACGTAAGCCATACGAAAAATATAGTACTAAGAGAAAACAGATTAATACTTGTGTATGTACAAAAAGATATACCGACCGTTTGTCATCAAAGTCCTTATATTAAACTTTATTCTGCAACTCATGGCTTGTTTTTGTCAAGAATCATCCTCGTCTGTCGTAATTGATTGTTTCTATGAAATAATAATAAAAAAAAGTAAATAAAAAAAATGAATCGTTCAAAAAGTTATGCAAACATGTTTTTCTTGTAAAACCCTTAAAAAATATATTCATTCTCTTACGATTATGTAAAAAAATAAAACACATATGTGTATTTTATAGATATCATAGAAAGCATCTCCCATTTTTTTTCTTCAACGTACTTCTTCAACCAAAGTTTAAAATTTGATGAAACTCAAGTGTAACCCAAAATTAGATCTAACTGTTCCAGCAAATTTAATGAAACCACGGAGCTCAAAAAAATGATTTTTTCATTGCAAAATCACTTCTTCAATGTCGACTTTAAAATAAACAAAAAATATCAGAAGCAGAGCCGAACTTACAACGAAACTTTACCTAGTGATATTATGTGAAGGCAAGAGAAAGAAGGCTATAGTTGATATAAAAATGTGAATTCTTGTATTGTCTCTGCGAAGATGATCTTAGCATTTTGAGGATGTGCCAAGTTGGACGGGTGGAAATGTTGTAAGAAAGTGCAAGTGTGTGTATGAATACAATGACAGTAATAAAAAATATCTACTCAATAGCGAGTCTCACTGTACAAACTCTTGAAATATTTATTTCAAACAGAATCAGGGAAAACAATGCCATCTAGCGCATAGTTTACAAAAAAAAGCCCTACAGTTAAAATCAGTAAAACAATAATGAAGTACTTTTTTTCCAACCACTACAATACATAGACACGGGCAAAAATTATTGTTATCCTTACTTGATAAGTCGCGATGAAATGCCGATACTACCAAAAAATTTTATCGCGTTACCGTCTGAACAATCTCGGGTGTATCTACTGCGGTACAAGAGAGCCGTCCTCGACAGAATCAGTAGATGCAGAGCGTTAGTGTCGGACCGAGCCTGTAGGTGGTAGCAGCACCACAGCGTTGCGGCTCATGTACTACTGACAACAATAAATAAATAACATAACTTGTCTGGACCACGGCTACTTGTGATCGTAAAATGAATAGAATCACGGTAAGAGATGAAAATTCTAATTATTGATGTTTTTTTGTTTTTTTTTTTTTTTTCAAGCATAAATACACGAAGAAGCTGCGAGTAAAATACTGCTTGTCCATTTGTCAAAAACAGTTCTTAATAACATACGAAAGCAGTGTGATGTAAAAAAAAAAAAAAAAAAAACTTGCGCTCATTTTGTACGGTTTTGCGGGATTGGAAGGTTCATAAGGTTTCCCTGTTAGTGAAATTAGGTGTAAAACAAGGCTCCCGAAGCACGTAACAGCGGATTACCATCTTTGACAGAACGGCATCATCTACACACTACATATACCCTCGAGCCAATCGGAAAGAACGAAGCGTCGCATTGCGCAGATACATACAGCCAAGTGTGGGTTGCACAACGACCACCTATATATTATACACCTATACTTGTTATCGTTGGAAAAACCAAGGGGCTATAATTGACATTTTCCACGAGCCCTTGCCCTCCAAGATCGAGCAAGACTCAGCTCATCCTCTTTGTTACATTCCGTACCAAGAGTAGTGCTGTTGTTACGTTTTTCCGGAGAAACGGAAAAAAAAAAGAAAGGACACACGTTGCGTGTGTACACAGCGTTTGTATTCATTCGAGATTTAAATGGTTCATTAGCTAGAATAAACTTTCGGCCCCTCCTCTCCTTGCCCTCGGCCGAGGCTCCTCGTATAACGCGGAGCACGTATACTTTTCTAATCCCCCGGACGATCGACACGGAGAGGAGGAAAAAAAAAAAATAATAATAATACCACGTTATTATATACATATATACCGAATCGCGTGAAATCCGTGAATTTGCTCACCACGAAGGCGATCGAGAAGAGGGTGTGTCCTGCGGCGATCGTAAAGTATGTTTGCACAAGAGCGCCAGAAGCAGGTGCTATACGTAATTCCGACGTGGGGGTCAAACAGGCGTGGAAGCACCGTGTACTTACGTAGGAAAATCAAGCTCCGCTGTTTTTTTTTCTTCCCCCCCCCCCTCCTATACACCCCCTTTTTGTGTACACACGCGCGCGCTCTTTCGTTTCCTCCTCTCCCGTTCATGACCATAAACATAACGCTCGCCCTGCCCCAACTTGGTGAATTTACATATCCAAGTACGGGAATAAACCAATTTTATTTTATTTTATTTTATTTTTTTTTTTTTGTTATTACTTTGAAAAGTCATTTGCATGGTCTGGAAGTTCGTTATCGCGCTCGAGCGGCCGCGGGGATATAAATGATCCCTTGCAACGCGAGAGCGGCGTTACCAAAGTTGGTTTTTTTTTTTTTCTTTTCTCACGAGTGTATGCGTGTCCTTTAACGGCGAGGGAATAACGTACATGTATATATACACATCGCGTGTTCGCACACAGAAGCTAGAGTAGGTGAAGGGTAATTACTTTTGTGAATTTTTCTCTTTCAGGTACGTATATATATATATTGTACGGGCACGCACGCGGTGTTTGAGATGATTTTGCGCGAGCGAACAAGCCAGGCCTCTGAGATGAATTAAATTCTCTGCCTATGCTTTTTTTTTTTTTTTTTTTTTTCTAGCGTCGGGTATATACCTACTCGTCGTATTTTTTTTTTCGGACAACGAAAGCTCGGAAAGTAAGTTTTGAAGTTTGAAAAAAAAGGGGGGGAAAAAAAAATTAGAGGAGAGAGAGCGGATGAAATTTCATTTAGCTGGCGATTTAATTTCGCCGAGTGAAATGGCATTATCACGGTCGTGCGTATTATACATGCTCCCCGTCGGACGCGCATAATGTGCACTCACTCAATACGAGCCTAATGACGTTGACGTTAAATTTCACCGCGTTTTAGGTATTTCCATTAATGGCAGCCATTGCCCCTCTGTGCCGCCCTCGATGCAAACGCACGATATATATGTGCTATGTGCGCGCACTGTGTGTAATGCAATGTATGCACGCCATTCGCTAATAAAGTCTGCACGCCCTTGGCTCCTTTGCCGAACGAAAGTAAAATTTAATTTCTTAATTTTGTAAATACGTATACCTCCAACCTCTTGGAAGTGACCAAAAAAAAAAAAGAAAGAATTTTTTTATCGCCCTTGTGTGTTTTTTCGTATACGTGCCATACCGCCAACAGCTGTTGTTGGTAATTTATTGAAAAGGGGGG